AGCTCTGGAGCCCCTGCCCCCAGCCTCTCCGCCAGCTGTCCCCGCAGGAGGCCCCCAGCCCCACCATCTCTCTGGGCCCTCCACCCCTGGACAATAGCACCTTTGTTCTCCCTCTGGCCCTTGGGCAGGGCAGGGCAGGGCAGGTCGGACAGGGGCAAATTTCTGTGTCATTTTCTGTGTGTGTTCCCCTGACCCCTGGGGCGGGGCTCCCATTGGAGTCCGGGTCTCTCGGCAAGGCCATGGCGTTAGAGCGCTGACCGCTCCCTGTTCTGAATGACAGATGAGTCAGTTCTCTCACCATCAGCCTCGGGGGCTGCGGCTCAGCCTGAGGGTGCGGGGTGCCCGGGGGGCTGTGAGCAACGACACAGGGTCGCCTCCAGCCGAGGATCATATGGGGCCCCTGTTGAATGGGGAGACTGGAGGCCAAGGGGGAGGGCCTGAGGGACGATGGGGCCTGAGCTGGGGCCAGGGATGTGCGTGTGTGTGGGGGAGTCTCGGGGGTGAGGCAGAGAGATAATAAAGTGTTTGAAATGGTGAACAGTGAGGAGGAACATTCCAGGCTGCCAAGAGGACGCGGTGCCGGCAAAACAGGCCCCGCCAAGGCCCAGAGGCCTCACAGAGGGGCTCCTCCATCCCTGCGGAGGAACGTGGTTTGGGGGAGCAGTGAGATCTGAAGCTGCAGAGCAGGGCACGCAGGGCCTTGGGACTTCTCCCTGGGGTGCTGGGAGCCAGGGAGGGGCGGGGGCAGCGCCGGGGTGTGTGTGTGTGTAGATGGACGGGGAAGTGGGGCCCGGGGCCCAGACCAGGCAGGGCGGGGAGGGGACCAAGGCCCAGATGAGGGAGGGCGAGGCCTGAGTGGGTGAGGCCCTGCGGATGGACAGGCGCGGGAGGCCACACGTCCATCTCCGAGTCCCAGGGGCCAGCCCAGGCGGGTGCTGTGGCCGCGGGAACCCTGGGCTCGGCCCCTGCCTCGCTAAGACCCCGGCGGTGGCTCCGGGCGGGGCGGGCGGGGGAGGGCGCCCCCTGCAGG